AGAGAAGCGAGCGCGGCAGCGATCGTCCGTCAGCGCAATCGCGCGTCGTTCAATTCCGGATAATGAAATCGAATCCGCTTAAACACGAGCTAAGATTAGCGCACTCGCTCGCTAATCGCTCGCCCCGCAAACGAACAAATCAAATGCTTTACCGTTCCTTGCGAGAAAAATAATAGATTACACTCGCGCCGCGTCGAATTTACATACATTTACAAATCATACATCAAACGCGTATTTAATTATTCCTTACCGCCGAGTGTAAGCGAAGCGTGTAAGCTCGTCTCGGCAATAGAGAAAGATTTCTTCTCAGCCTTCCAATTCACAGCTTCAAAGAAACTATTTCTCCCGGAGAACAATTTCGCAACAGAAACAGAAAGAGAGACAGAGAGACAGAGAGACAGAGAGACAGAGAGACAGAGAGAAAGAGAGAGAGAGAGAGAGAAATCTACGTCATTCCTTAATTTAATAATTTTCAATACATAATCGCAGGACTACAACGCGCCGATGATTCAGCGGCTCTATACATATTAATGTACGCTTCCTACGACAACGGTGTGCGGCTTTCGCAATCGCCCGAAATTGCTTCCCGAAAAGTATACGTACGTGAGGTGCTCGACGAGGAGAGAAAGAGTCAGATAGAGAGAGAGAGAGAGAGAGAGAGATTCTCCTCAACTTGCCGCGCGTCCCCAATCGCCCTCCTCGCCGCCGCTCTATGAACGGAAAGTAGAGGTCGCCGAGAGACTTGAACTCCTCTCGTAGCTTGAATCGTTGCACGTATGTGGATCCTGCGGCAGGTAATATAGGTGGGGGCGGTGGGTCGTTCCGCGGACGGAATGAGGGGCCTAACGGAGGTAGGGGGGAAAGAAAGCGAGGCTGGCCCCCGGAGGGCCCACAACCGGCACACTATATGCAGAGAGCGGTGCACCAGTTATTTATCGTAGCTCCCGTTTATGCTTTATTTGTTATTTGCCCGCTCTCGGCTGCCTGGCCAGACTGGCAGTTCGTGTAGGTAGGTATAGGTAGGTATAGGTACATACGCATCTTACGCCAGCACCTACACTGTCCGCTTGTTCCAGAGCCGCGACGATCCACGATAATGAATCTGTTTTGTGCAATTAGACGCGTTAAGGAAGCCGTTTAAATCACGGCACCGCCGCGCGCACTCCGCTCTCTCTCTCTCTCTCTCTCTCTCTTTCTGTCTCTGTCTCTCTCTCTTTCTCTCTCTCTCGCGTAGATAAAAATGTATTTCCAACGATTGTTCCCTTTCTCCCTGTCTCGTTCTCTTCCCCCTCTCCCCTCTTTCTCTTTTGTGCTCGCGCGCGGTCGTACGCGTCTTTAATCTCCCGCGAGATAAAAGGAAGAAAAAAGCGGGAAAGAATTATTCGGTCGCGCAACTCCGTTGCGATTTCAATACGATCTCGCACGCGCGCGCGCAGCGCGATGTAACGAGAAGTCGATAATTGGAACCGGTGGAAATATCGAGGTGAGCGGTTTTTTGCGCTATTAGCACTGTTGCTCTCTCAAGATTATGCGCGCCGACTAATTAAGCATTTCCCCTCGCGAGGCTGACAGATGCGGTCGTTAGGATTCGACGATGTCGATATTACTCGCCGGCCGCGGCGCGATAGCGAGCCTTAATTAAATTGTATTTGCACGAAATTGATGGCCGCAGATATCAACGAGGCCGTTAAGCTTCTTCGTAAACGTATGTCGAACAGGTGCAGACGAGCCGCGACGGCGCGGCGGCGTCGGCGTGCGTGACGCATGTACGACGGCGATAATTGTTTGAGGTCGTAAATTGTTATAATTAGTAAAGTCCAGCGTCTCTCCCCGAAGTAGAATTCGGAGGCCGTGAATTCGTGAGGCCGATATTGCATGCGGCCAGATCGGTCGGCGGAGCGCAGCGCCAACGCCGCACCTCGAACGCGGCACCTTCGTTCCCTCCCTTATTATCACATTTACATTACAGCGACAATGTTCGAGAGGATTCGCAACGAAAGCACAGACTGATATCAATCGCGAATTATCCGTCCGCTCGCTACGACTACGGGAGAGATTTATCGGAGACTAGTTTCGAAGTAGTGACTTACCGGCAGCGCACTTCTGGCAAATTTATGCCCACGACGAGTATGGCGGTCTAAGATATATCAATCCTCGAGCGAAAATCGAATTAACGATATTTATTAGTGGCCAGTGGGTTCGAGACACCAATCTCGAGATGACAAAGTGACGGCGATTCTGAAAAGTTCGTCCGTCCGCGGCACGGCCGTGTCGAGCGAGAGCGCGGCTTAACGGCCTAATGTTCGAATTACCAATCTCGCGCGCGAGCACGTTGCACGGTACACATATGTGTATCGTCGCCGTTGACGGTCATCCTTCCTCACGATGTAATGAAGGCACCTCGACGCAAGGTGGCCGCCGCGCGTCGGTGTCAAACGCGGAGAATTAAAAGGACGACGACGACGACGACGACGACGACCGACGGCGACGTATCGGGAGGGTACGAGGAGGGAAATAGGAGCGCATCTTCGGCGCGGTAGAGGAGGAGGAGGAGGAGGAGGAGAAGGTGATGAAGGAGGTGGAGAAGGAGGATGGGGCAAACGGGGGAGAGGGCAGGTCTGAAGGGAGGCAGACGGGAGAGGAGAGTCGAAGACACTGCGAGAAAGAGAGAATAATGCGTTAAAGCAGCAACCAGCAACTACTCTAATTGGCCACTTTGTCCATTTATTCGATTTATTTAAATTATGGGACAATTGACAGTAGGCATTCTATTTTTTAAATCTCCCCGGCCAACCGGCTGATTGGGCGAGATTGGCGTGAGACACTGGCCCCACAGATTCCCCAGTTGTGGGCTTAATCAGCTTTGATTGCTAGCATCTCTCTTTCTCTCTCTCTCTCTCTCTCTCTCTCTCTCTCTCTCTCTCTCTCTCTCTCTCCCTCTCGTCGAGAGTCCGTGTCTCTTTCTCTCGGCGTGTTTTCTTTCTCTTTCTCTTTCCGTGTACTCATACATCTACGGCTCTATCCTCCTCTCGCGCACACCCGCGTTCTCTTTCTCCCGTCGGCTCGCTTTGCCCCCCGTCCGTCTCTCCCTCCCCCAACTTGTCCCTCTCTCTCTCTCCCTCTCTCTCTCTCTCTCCTCTCTCTCTCTCCTCTCTCTCTCTCTCTCTCTCTCTCTCTCTCCATCTCTCTCCATCTCTCACCATCTCTCTCCATCTCTCTCGCTCCATCACTCTTTCTCCGTCTCCTTCCGATGTGTCTCGCTTAGCCGCGCGCGCGAACGACGTACAACGTACATTTTATTTTATTCCATTTCGTTGCAGATCCCACCACGCGTTTAATATCGTCCGGTCGGCGTCGATTGGCCGATCCGAAATTGTGGGAATATGTCACTGGACGAGAAAATCCGACGAGAGGCCGCCCACTCTCTCTTTCTCTACGCAACGTGCTCCCCTCACGTGTCTCTCTTCGTCCTGAACGCCGTGATTTCCGTCGTGGAATCTTTGCACGGCACTTACGCGCAATGCATTGCCGATCGCGGAGTCACGGAGCGTTCCCGAAGGAAATGAAGGTTCGTGTGTCGATGGAAAAAAAAGACGACGACGACGACGACGACGACGATGAGAGACGCGATCGGTCGTAACGCCAATATTTGTTTACGCGATACGAAATTCTAGTCCGTGCTCTGTCATCACGAGAAGCGGATGATGAATTTTACTCGAGCATCGCAGAGCGACGACGATTGGATCGCAGCAGTGTCCTTTACCGTGACCCTTTCACTTTGCAGACAATTAAGAAGCGGAACGAGGACAGAGCTCGCTTGAAAATTTGCGGGGATCCGGGATACGTGGTCGTTCGCTAAATATCGGGAGAAACGGCTGGAATCGACGAGTTTCTTTCGTCAACGCGGCCGAAGCAACCCCCCTCGAGCCGCCTCGTGGGAGCCGTTAGCACTCATCCCATTTCCTTGATAATTCCCATAATGCTGTGGGCGGATATTCCAATAAAGGGGGAACAGCCCCCGGGCACAAAACACTGAAAGCGGCGGACGGCCGCGATTCGTCAGGTTGCCCACGATTCACGGGTTCGCGAGGATCGAGGATCGAGACAAATAAAGGCCGTAGGGAGAGCCGACGGCGCTCGCCGGCTTACGTATAGCTTCAGATTTGTCACGTGGCGCGCGGGAATGCGCGATAATTACTCAAAGATGCGGGCCCACTGCGGGCGCGCACGTGGGATGCGATTTCTCTCTAGCCTGGTTCGCGCGCGCGCGCAGCGCATTATTAAACCTCGTCGGAAAATCGAGAGAAACAAACGTTGATTCTCGCAAAGAAGCGTTTTTACGTAGCTGCGGAATTCACCTTGGCGTTTAGAAGGGGGACGAGAAAATGGGTATTTCTCTTAGTTAGCAGCTCGACCGAAGCCTTTCGCGCGTGACGACAACCGAATAAAACTCTCGAAATAAACTTCCGCTGTCAATTTCGTCGCTTTCCCTTTCCGACGCGTGCGCGGGTGCCGCACGTTGGTACAATTGAGACGACCTTTCACTCGATGAAAAATTCGTCAGAGCGCTCTCCGCGCGCATCCGGCTGCTTCCGCGGCGAGAAGGCGCGCGCGCGCACGCGCGCGCATGGCTGCGGCTTTTGGCGAACGCGAACGCACATACCGATTATTTCTATCCCGACCGCCGTTAAAGGTCAAGCGTCGCCGCGTACGATCGACAACAATGTCTCCGTTCTAATCATAGGTTCGCTCAAACGGTCAACGCGGCCGATTACAAATTACCCGGTCTAACCAGATCGCGCGCGCGCGCGCGCGCGCGCGGCAGCGCGAGGTAAGTATCGCCGGCGAGTCTGCCGCTGTCTTTTTCCACTTGGGCCGTTCTTTCCTCGCCGCTTGTGTCTTGCTCGCGCGCACGGGCAGGGTCATCGAACGCGGTAGTCTCGATTCGAATCTAATTACGATCCCGATAATTCCGTCAGCGGGAGGAAATAGTAACTCACCGGAAACCTTCGGGTCAGCTGCCTCCACCTTCATCGCCGCCAGGCTCGCTATTGTCGGCGGTACCTAAAAGAAATACATTACGATGTACAATGCACTGGCGCGCTCAGGGCCGTATATATGCGAGAAAGCGGCGAGAGAGGCGAAAGGGGAGCCCCGTCGCCCACGCAGACGGCAGACGCGAGATGTTTCCGTAAACCTATCGCGTATCCGCGAAGGACTAGCAGTTCCGCCGACTAATCGCGTTATCGCCTCAGGTCCCGCTCGTAATGGCCGCGTAATATCCCTACGTTAAGCCCGCCGCTACCAAGTAATGAAATTACCCCACGGCCGGCATCGTGCCGCCTTAATTTCGGACAACTAACTCTCATCGACTCGCACATGCCTCTCGCAGCTCCGCGAGCTGATCTTCCGCTCTCGCCTCTCGCCTCTTCGCCACGGACGCTCCGATGAATGCCGAAATTAAAATCGGGAGACCTAAAAAAAGAGAGAGAGAGAGAGAGAGAGAGAGAGAGAGAGAGGCGGCCACTGGCCCGAAGGAGCGCACCCGCCGGTGCTCCTCGAGGAAACGACACTTGCCGGAAGCCCCATCGCGGTGCAAATTATTCGAATGCTGTACGATTTCCGAAGCCTTAGCTCTGAGATCCCGACCCCGCGACGTCGTTGAATTTATGAACCGATTGCTACATCGCCGTCGCCGTCGCCGTCGACGTCGACGTCCTGCCCGTTTTCCCTTCCTCAAGCCGCCGTCGAAAAATTACTTTCGACACCGAGATCGAGCGGAACGCGTGTGACTCGATTCTCTTGAAGTTGAGGAAGACACCCCCCTGGTCCTCATTGAAACTTCTGACAATCGTAAATTCATCAAAGGCCTCGAACTTGCCTCGCGCGCGCGCGCGCGCGCGTGTGGGAATAACTGACGTAATCCGAGTAATGCGTATAATTTCAGGCACGTGATACGAGTACGTGAATTCAACGACGCCGTGACGTGTCGTTGCATCATCGTGCACTCGATCGGGTTCTTTGTCCCGAATCATGAATTTCATTCCGCGGGCGAATCGCGAAGCGATCGAGCGTGCCCGGAACAATCGATTAATTCCGTCGAATCTAATAGAACTCGCCTCACGTACGTGACCATCGCGTTCCGTCGATTCTGCAATCTCTAATCGAACATTTATATTCCCTGTTCATAATTATCGTCAACGTTCCGCGCCCGGTATCGCGGGTCGCGCGTTGCGCGTGTACCGCGCATAACAATACCGGGCCCGATCTCGCCGCGAAAAAATTCACTTCGCGCGTGTCCCAAATTCGGCCATCCCCCCTCCCCCCCCCCAACCGCTTCATCTCGCGAAGGGGGGGGCGGCGGCGGCGGCGGCAGCGAAATCGGAAACGCGCCCTCGGCCGGGCGATACACACATTTCGAGTTGACGCTTCCTCCACACGTCAGCTCGCGCGAGCGAGCGAGCGAGCGAGCGGGGGGAGAGGAATGCACGCGAGGAGAAAACGCGAGCGTGAGGAAACGAATAGAAAATAATGTGCACTGTACGATGTACATAATGCGGACGTATGCACCGCGGCGGTGGGAGGGGGAGAGGGGGCCACGGGGGAGAAGCATGAGGGAACGAGAAGAAAGAAAGAAAGAAAGAGAAAAAGGTCGGAATGGGACACACACAGAGGTGGGGCGAAGAGTGCCGACGAGGAGGAAGAAGAGAATCGAAGAGGAGCGATAGAGAGACGAGGAGAGGGGTAACGATAAGAGAAAGAACGACGAGGGGGAGAGGAAAGGAGAGGGCACGCGGATGAAGGAGGAGGAGGAGGAGGAGGAGGAGGAGGAGGACGGAGGGAGCGGGGTTAGCGCTCGACGCGGGGAGAGAGACGCGAGGGAAGGGTGCACGCGAGAGAGTATAGAGGCATATATGAGAAAACAATAGAGCTGATTTGCAAACAATAGAATAACGTTAAGACTCGAGTATTATACGCCGTTGTTACTTCTTGTGCCATAACGCCGCGGCCGGAGAGCATATGCCCATTAATATTCAAAGGCGAAAATAATGTAAACGACACGACAAAAATCGGAGGAATAATTTCAATTCTCCCCGTATGGGATTCCACGGCAGCGATCCCATAGTCGGATCGTCGTCTCCGCGCGGTGTCTCCGCTTAGGCGTGCTGCAGCGGTGCCGCGGGCATTCGCCGGTCGCGAAAGCGCCGCGTCGTTGATAATGGAATTGCGATAACGAGATCGCGCCGACACTCGCTGAATATCGTCGGCGAACGTCTGCTCGACGGGATCTTCCGCGAAAACGCGCGCGTTTCCGAGCGCGCGCCGTGAAATTCGGAGGTCTCTCTCTATATTTCGAGATCCACCGGCGCGACGGATATTTTTACATCCTCCTTACGCGGAAATCTCTCGGCGGATATCGGAGGCCGCGGGGGACAGCGGAAAGAGTCGATGAATAATAAAAAAGGCACGGAGGTGTTCGACGAGGAAATGATGTCTAAGCGACGAGGTCCGTGTATCGGCTTTTATTGCGACGTATTATAACCGATTGTTCGTCGCGCACGATTCTGAGAACCTCTGGATTATTCTAGCACAATTAAGCTCACGCAGCTCCCGGTTGGTAACTTTACGATCTGACGATGTTGTCAAGAGTTGTCGGAATACGACGATGACTCATCGTCCGTATTGTTTTCGGACAGCCCGCGATCGTTTCTTCCTTGACGCAACCAACACCCGGCTCGACGCTACCTCAATTTTTACTAATCGTCCGATCATCGATGCCGGTGGCAATGTTGCGCGACTTCCGCGACCAGCACCACGAATTAACTCCGCTCAGTATCGCCGTCATTTCACCGTAACGCGACTGTCACTGTGGAGTACTACGAGAGTCCTTGAAAAGAAACAAAAAAAGAAAAATTGATGGACTTCGAACCGCGAGTAACACACTCGCGAGAGATTGTGTGTCTTCGCTGATTTGACTTTCAATCACGGCTGGAATAGGCTCGACGAGATGAGCTCCCACAAAAGCTGAAGGACCCGATGCCGAATTTATTTGTTCCGAAGAAAAGTTAGACTCACCCTGGAATCCTCGGGCTCCTCCCGCCGCACGTTCTGAAAGAGCACGCTGCCCATCTGAACCTGCAGATTCTGCTGCAGCAACTGCGCCAACTGAGGATTCTGCGACAGGATCGCAGGATTCTGCTGCAATAGTTGCGCCAGCGCCGGGTTCTGCACCAGTATTTGATTCAAGGACGAGTTCGCCATAGCGTGCAGGGAATGTTGCTGCTGTTCTTGCGACTGATGTTGTTTCTGCTGTTGCTGTTGCTGGTGTTGTTGGGGCTGCTGCTGGTGTTGCTGCTGCTGTTGCTGCTGCTGCTGTTGCTGCTGCTGTTGCTGCTGCTGCTGCTGCTGCTGCTGCTGCTGCTGCAGGTTCGGCGAATTCGCGTTTGACGTCTGGCAGGACTGCGACAGGTTGCCGATGGGTGGAATAGCACGTTGCGGACTTTGCGGGGTGTGCGGAGGCGTGGGTGGACTTCCGGGCGCCATGGAAGAGGCATCCTTTTCTTCCTTCACCTTCATCTTTCCTGCAACACAGAAGAGAGCGAAGTTTTCAGTACAATCCGTCGAATGTATTCTCATCGTAGTTGCGCAATAAAACACAACTTTGCTTACAACTTGCTCGATTGCGCGAAGTAGAAAGTACTAAGCGAATATTTGACGATCAACGTACACATTTCTATTTGAAATGTGAAAGAAAACTCGTTTCTCTTGTAATCTTGAGATAAAAATAGCGCATGGAAATGGAGTAGACGGAGCCGCGCGTGGCATCGATATTGTAGATTCAACGGTTTCACAATTAATGACGATGCCGTTTCGCTGTCGATAGCGCGCATTAATAATACGACCTTTTTCTCTCGCGAAATCCAAGGTGCGTGATGTGCATTGTTGAAGCCTCGGGAGTGGAGAAGTTGGACGAGCCAGTCGCGAGCGTGGATATATTAATGTTATCAAGACATTTTCACGGTTCTCCTCGAGGCCTAACGGGAGCCTAACGCGTAATATCATCGTAATAAAATATTATAGGTAGCTTGAGCTGCTCAAGCTGGTGGCATCTGCGACGAATGGCTTTTTCTTTTAAACGCTCGCACTCGTTCGTTTTTTTGCTCATATCGAGGAACGAATCGCCGCTGTGTCCTGAGCAAAATTCACATCTGTTCTCGATAAGAGGCAGACCTGTGATACAATTTGTCGAGCTGAAACACGAAAACTCTCCGCGCTCTGAAGATGCTCGGCTCTCTCGATAAGAAGCCTTGCGACAAACTCGCCAGCTATCGGTCGGCCAGTGATTGACCGAATTCATAATTAATTACTAATTACTAATTCGGATTATTATCTTCAATTACCGCTACGGCCAGAGACGTTGCTGTTTCGCGAGCATTGCTGTTCCAACTAACAAAAGGAGAGTTAATCGAACGAAATCTCGGAGAGCAGCGCGCGGTCGCTTCGAACTGCTCTCTACGAGCTCCTCCGCGCTTCACCTACCTATCTATCTCACGGATCTCTAAAGATCCTCTGGAGTTGTGATCTCCGCCGGAATATCGGCGAGACTGATTCTCCGGTTACTCAGGTTCTGCCGTGATTTCGGAAGTATCTTACAGAGGGGCGATGGGCTTCCGGATTGGTCCAAGGGTATACGAGGAATAAGCGGTGATCCCACGGGAGATGTGCGGTTGCTACCAGGTATTAAAAGGGAGACCGACCGCGCGCGGGGTGAGTTTTTTCTTAGGTTTCAAAGTCGTGAAATTGAGACGTCTCGATTGTGAAAGCCGCGTAATCGACTGCTAGCAGGTACATCTGCCGGTTGAACGGCAGATATATTCCTATGGGGAGGGGAATATATAAAAAGTTGATAATATCGCTGAATACCTTCTAAAATAGACCTCCATTACTTTGGAAATTTATCATATCATTTATTGTATAAGAACAAAAATATACCTTTTCTAATAAATTTTTTCTAATAAATTTAGTATAATCTTTCAATTCGCCGAAATATCTCGTGCTAGCAAACGGGATTTTATACACTGAGAAAAATATCCGAAATGTCCGATTGTTAATTTTGTCATCCGATTAAATACACCGGATATTTGGTCGGATAACGAAATTAACGATCGGGATATTCTGATATTTTTCTCCGTGTATGAATCGACCCACCAATTACTTGAGAGAGAAGAAAGAAGATTTTCTCCGATCTCCGATCCCCGAAAATTGTCATCGAAAAGTGTCTCGAAAAACACATAAATACGCGCAGAATTGCGAGGAAAAAGTTCCACTGGCCAAATAACAGTTGGATGCTTTCGGCGGTTGTTTCCGCCCTGCGGGTACAATCCGCGGTGGCACCAGGTAGATAGGATGCGCGTCTGATTCGCGCAAGCGAACCCTGAGAACGTCGAGGCTCGCGATCCCGGAGATTACCTGCAGTTTTCGCTCGCAGGTGAGGAATGAGGAAACTAGAGAGGAGCATAATGCAAGGAGTCTCGGAATCGGGGAAGGGCTTAAAGACCCTTTGCCGCGAGAGAGAGAGAGAGAGAGAGAGAGAGAGAGAGAGAGAGAGAGAGCAACACCGGGACCCCCAGGGGAGGAGGGATACGCCGGGCATCCCGGAATACGCCGAAGGTTAGACCGATGACGTTTGGTAAAATTACGAAACCCCTTGGATCTCTTTTTCTCCCGATTTATCCTTCCTCATTTTTCGCGGTTAGGCTCTCCTTTCACGCGCCTTTCCATTGCTTTTTCCCTTCTTTCTTTTCGTGCGCGAATGGAGCGTTCTTTATCGCGATGGATGACGCTCATTCGCCATCGTGCGCGAACGGCCTACGGCGGTTTCGTCGCTCGATGAAAAATGACTATCCCGTCATACACTCGCGGACTCCCCCGAAGGACGGAAAAATGTTGCGAGCTGTGGGAAAATGTTTCTCCGCGCGAATGTGCCCGCGGCTGTCGCGTTCCCCGAGCGCAATTTCGCGATTGGGCATCTCTCACGGCTGAATGAATAAATCGGTATAATTAATTCGGAGTTATAATTAATTAAACGCATAACGTTTTAGCGGAGAAGAGGCGCGGCGAATAGCACAAAAAGAGGCCCCGGCGACGCTCGTTCCCGTATTAAATGAATTCTCATCCTCGCGAGGGAGATCCCTGAAGAATCGCATGCGTGTACACGCGTCTCTCGCTGTATCTCGCTCGCGGCCGGGTCCTTAAATCGACTCGATTTTTAAGGCCCAGTCCGAAGAAGGTACCGCGCCGCGGGGATCCTGTGTTTCTCTTCCTCTGGAGACGTTCTCCCTTTCGTCTTTGCTCCAAATCGCCTCGCATAGCGGCGAGTCATATTCCATCGATACACAATCGCAGCAGAAAAACGCATTACGATGAGTCATCTGGCCGAGATTCCTCATTTATAAAGCGCTCGGCGAAATGTAGCATACTTTGATAAGTAAACGAGAACGTATCCGTCGCCTGAGAGAAATTGGCGTGATTATTCGCAAGGTATGGATCGATTATTACTATCGAGAAAAAAAAAAAGGTATCCCTCTCCCCCTCCCTCCTTCTCTCTCTCGAGAAAGTTTATCCGAGAATGATGACGATGGAAATTACTTCCGTAACATCCAATATTTCGTTCTTCGAAATTCCGGAAGGATTGGAAAGAGACTCGTTGAATTTTCTCAGAATTTTGCACCTTCCATTACCGGATGATTAGCGATGTAAACTCGTCCAGAGACAGAGAGACAGAGAGAGAGAGAGAGAGAGAGAGAGAGAGAGAGATTCTCGCGCACCGGATAATAAAATAATCGACATCACTCGGATACGCTCGGTGCTCAAATTAGAGACGGCGACTGACATCCGACCCTCTAACCTCGGAAGTCGCGCGCATAACGGGGGGAGAAAAAAAGAAGAAGAAGGGCGCCGCGAGACCTCGCCACATATCCTCGAGCCCATTTTTACGAGATACTTAAACCTTTAAACGGGCGCACCGTTCAGGTCAAATTGGAGAGAACGCGCGCTCTCCGATTTCAAATTTCGCAGGAAAATCGGTTAACCCTCGAGATCGACTCAGGCGACGGCTCGGTCGGGACGAGGGGTGCCGGAGCGCGCGCGTGATTTTTCTCAGGGGTTAAATCGAGCGTGGCCCTCGGTGAGAGAGTCTCGCGCTTTTTTTCACGTGCCCTTCCACGTGGAGTCGGGCAGGTACGTGCCGGCTACCTGCGCGAGTCCATCCATTCCGGGAAGCTCCGGGGAAAACGGGTGGCCGCAGAGCGGTGCCGCTCTTCAGGGGTGAAAACAACGCGAGACGGAAGGAAGAAAAACCGGGAAAAGAAAGACCGGGAGAGATTACGCGCGGAATCTCGCGGGAGAAATACACACGCGAAGGGACTCTCTCTCCTCGCGCGTACCTTTCCGTATCGTTTTTATCTCGACGGCGCCTGCGAACCCCTCTCTAGACCCACCCTTCGGCGTCCCGGCCGTAGCGGAGGCCGCGAGGGTAACGAAACAGGGGTAAAAGTGAGTTAATAGTCGGTAAAACGCCGTTCTCTCCCTGTGACCCGCAGGGGTTACGCGCGCGCACCACCGAGGGTGAGCCGCTTCTTCTTCTTCTTCTTCTTCTTCTTTTTCTTCTTCTTCCTCCTCCTCTTCCCTCTCACCTCCTTTCTCACCCCGGCACGTACGGATAGTCCCTCACCGGGAGAGAATCAGAAGGGGAACAGGGCGAAAGGTGGCCGCGCAGTCTTCCGTGGTGCTGCATCGCCAAAGAGGAGAAAGCCGAGACGCGAGACTCCTTTCGTCCAGAAATCCGAGTAATCGTCGTCGCCCGCTTCCTGCGAGAGCCGCTCTTCCGCCCTGGTCGTTCTCGAATTTCCGCGTGAGAACGCGGCGCACGAATCGGCGAACGTGCGGCAGCAGTGTTTCGCGTACAAAGTGTGTACAATAATAATGATGATAATAAGCGCCGAAGAGAGCACACGCGTGTAGTACATGCAAATTTAGATATCGCCGGGGGCAGCGAGAAAGAGAGAGAGAGAGAGAGAGAGAGAGAGAGAGACTCGACGCGATGAGCGGACCGTGCGATGAAATAAAAGCCGATAAAACGCGCCACTCGATCGCGCGCGTCGACTCGCCCGGTTACGGCGCGTCGCGTCGCGCTCTGCGCTCAGCGTTACGTAAATCTGGTATTCCAAACACAAAAGCAAGATTACCGACGGCACGGCGCGGCTTCGGTTTTCTTGTTTCTCGTCAGAATCGAATTTCGAGCGCGTCGTCGTCGTCATGTAACGAAACACGCACGCGCTCGCTCGCTCGCTCGCTCGTCCGGGGCCTCGCGTTACGCGTGCCTAACCGCATACGTGGAAGCGCGGCGTCGTCGTCCAACCCGGAATCGTCGACGGGCCTCCTCGTCGTTCCTCGGCAACGACGACGACGACGACGACGACGACGACGACGACGCCGCCGCTCCGTCGCTCGTCGCTCGGCGATTCCAAATCGAGCAACCGCCGAGCAACCCCGATCCGTCCGCGAACGGTCGACGTCCTCC